AGCTGGCATACTCGAAGAGCTTGCCAGTGGAGGAGAAGATGATGAGAGCAACATCAGCATCACAAAGAACTGAAAGTTCTTCAGCTTTCTTGAAGAGACCTCTTCTTCTTTTGGAGAAAGTTACTTGCCGGACAGTGGCGTTGTCGATTTTCTTAATCTGAATCTTCTCCCTCGCCATGTGTAAAGATTTATCAGAATTAATTAATATCAGAACCCTCACTTCTGAAGAGCACATGGAATAAACCAGCAAATAAATGACAAACAAAAGATGGAGATCTTCCCGACGGATAGCATCGGCGTCTTCTTCTTCTTCAAGCTCCTGGCGGACCCAGCACGGGCGACCGTGGGGGCTGGCCAGGTGCTGGGTCCGCCCCTATCTATCACCACTGTCAAGACCACCGTCGCGATCTCTCTCTCTCTCTCTCCCTTTCTTCCATCTTCATTTCCTACACGCCGCTAGCACCATTTTCTCCTTCAACCAATGATGAGATGTATGTGTTTAAAATCAATGGTGTAGATTGTTGATATATGAAAGAATGTCAAACTTAATGTCATCCATAATGTACATGTAGAGTGATTAAGCACAAATAGTTACAAGTAATAGCAACAGTAGAAACACAGGACGGAAAGTGTAACATAATTTGTTAGAAGTGATGGTACCGGAGGTGGGAATAGACACTAGCGGAGTATTAATACTCCAATTTGCACAATGTATCATAAAAGATAAAGTAAAAATAAATAAGAAAAAAAATTGAGAATAATAAAAGTTGTATATGTTTGTTTTATTAGCGTGTTGTGAATTGTCCCAATTTCTTTAAAAAAAAAATAAAAAAAATGCTCGTACAAAATTGCATTCTTTCAGAACGCCCAATTGACAAACCAACTTATCTCAAATTCAACCAAATTTACACATCTAAAAAAAAATAGAGATTCGTCGACCACCACCACATAGAGAAAAACGAGAAAGAAAAGATGATGATGCTGAGGTTCATTCTCGGCCCACGTTCTAATGGGTCATTGACCCCCCTCAAGAAAGCCCCAAAACAGCCCATGATCTCTGTTTTGGACTGGGTCAGCTGAATTTTCAATCTAACTTTTTGTGTGGGCCCTTTACTAATGGCAGGGCCCACTAGTCTCGTGACATGTTCCTTTAACCCTGTGACCTGTCAACTCCAAAATTATTGAACTTATGGCGTTTGATCCTTAAAAGATCAAATTTGTTCTTTAGTTTCATTTTCTTATTTCTTTTCCATTAGAATTTTATCTTCCACTAAAAAAAAATTGATCGAGCATTTTCCACACGTAGCATGCAACAAAAATGTCGATACA